CTTTCCCTCGTCCTCCGTCTCCACCGCCCTCTCCCTCTTGCTCTCGTCCCGTTCTCGTAACGGCGACGACGATCGCCGGCTTTTCGTACATTTTCGTGCGGCCTCGCGAGACGGGAGGGAAGCACGGCGCCTTCTCCGCGAACAGAGTCGCACAGTCGTGACGTGACGTTTTAGGGGTTGGTCGGTCGCTCGGCTCGCTCGCGCACGGTATGCGACGAGGAAGGAGCCTGCTGCGGTGACTGCTTGCGGCGCCCCCAGTTAAAGTGCAAAAGATATCGCGTCGTCGTCGTCGTCGCCACCGCCACCGCCACTGCCATCGTCATCGTCGTCGTCGTCGTCTTCGTCGTCGTCGTGCTGCCGTGTCGCGATACTATTTGCGCGATCTTCCCTTTTATACTGTGGCATGTGACCCGGACGACAGTCCTCTCACGATCGTCGATCACGATCTCGCGGACGTCGGCATCCGCGTATCACGCGGATGAGCCGCGGATCTCGCGCGCGCGGCAAGCGCAAAAGTCGCGACGCGCTCGATCCTGCCTCGATCCTTGTCACTCTAACGTCTCGTCCCTACCCATCTGTCTCTGTCTCCCGCTCCCGCTCCCGCTCGCGCTCGCGCTCCACCGTCCCCGTTTGATCGCGATCACTTTCGGTGTGGCCGACAGTTCGGGCGGCGGCGACGGCGTGGGGGCGGTGGTGGTGGTTGGTGCGCGCGATGGCGGGAGAGGAGGGGTAGGAGGATGATCCACACGCGCAGGAAGGAAGGAAGGAAGGAACGACAAAATCGTTTAGTATTTATTTCAAGTGTATTTACCGATATCCTCTCTCGCCCGTACGTCTCCTCGCGCTCGCCGTCCTAAATCTCGCGCGAATCCGTTTCCGCGCTGCGGAGATATACGCGACGATACACGGAATCTATCCCACTCCCGCGATCTCACGCGCGTTGCCATACGCGTGTCGATCACGCAGGTCGATCACGCAGGTATCACGCAGGATTCGCCGGGATCGATCGCGTAGGACTAGATCTTCTCACGAGGCGAAGAGGTACTCGTCGCGCGAATTCGCGGCCGATTTCTTCATCGTGAGTGTCAAGTGTGCTCGGCTTTTATTTTTTCTCGCCGAGATAATCGAGCGTCGTCTCACCACCGTCATCGTCGTGTATTTGACTCCTCGTTTCGGTCATTAGCTTACGCGGCATGACGGCCGATACGTGTTCCTTCGTGATAACGCGTCCGGATTCGGCAGACTGTGATTCGCGCTCGGGTTGCCGGCCGAGCGTGCCTTGAGGAAACTACCCGCGTCATTGTGAGAGCTCTCCTCTGTCAGTCGTGTATGTGCGTGTGTGTATGTGAGAAGGTATATCTATCCCATTGTGAGAGGATCTCTCCCCGACAGAGATTTTGATCGGTCGATCGATCGATCGCGTGTGCGAACGTGTGCCGCTTCTCATCTATCTTGGCAAGAGTGCGATATAATAATAATATGTGACATATGCAATTTCAAAGATTCATCCCGCCAAATTCCCCGCGCTCTCGCATAATCACGCTCGCGATTATTCGCGGCCCGTACCGGCTTCCCTCCGCGCCCCTCTCCCCCTATTCCCGGCTCTGGTATGTGTAAACTGTGTAAATAGTATATAACGCTATTCGTTCGTCCCGCCGGCAATGAAGCGAGCGACTAGTCGTAAACTGAAAGTTGTATATTTTTTTCTTCGCTTTATCAACGCAAACGAACGTACGAGAGACCATCGCGCGTTTTTGTCTGTTATCAAACAATGTTCGGTGGCAAAGTTATCTGTCGGATTCGTCACATGTAATTTTAGCAGGATGCGATAGCGACACTTTAAAAATTCGTGGAACAATATCTACGCGCGTAGAGAAATCGGTACGATTAAGAAAGTAGGAGATACACAAACGTTTCTCTATCTCTCTCTCTCTCCCGTTGCTGATTCTATCATCTTATGTTGTTTTAAATTCTTTTTTCTTTTTTTATTGCGCGACTCGGGAAAAAAAAACACGCGTGACCGGAACAAGTTTAAATCGACGAGGTTCGTTATCGATATACGATATACGATAATTCGGTGTACAAAAATAGATTCTCCCGTATCCGTTATGCAGATTCTGTTACTTTTAAAAGCAATAAAACGCGTCGGCCATGAATAATTATCGTTTTCGATTTCCCGTCGCAGAAAATGCGAGACCGCTTTGCCGCTCATTAAATGCTCCAGCCCATCATCTCTCCTAGTTTTGCGCCGGCACACACACTCACACGCGAGCGTTCTGTAAATTTGTTTTAAGATCTTTTTTTTTTTTATCATTATGCTAAGATAACACTATCAGCGTACATTTAGTGCTCCCGCTTTTATAAGTAGCGGAGAATTATTTAATCAACGTACTCTCTCTCTCTCTCTCACTCTCTCTCTCTTTCTTTGAATTGGCTCCGGCTTGACGACCTAATTTTCCTGTATAGCGAAGCGGTAATTTGCTCAGTGCGCGCCTCCTAGATTTTATTCCTTTTATACGCCTGTCTTTCTACGCAATTGGGCAAATAAACGTTTCTATCTTTCCCGTTTCGCGGTAAGTTCAGCTACGCAATATTTCCACTCCTTCCGTGACATTTCAACAATTCGTTATGTCATACTATTGCCGTGTAACGAATATAAATATACGATATATATCTTTATGTATCTTACATAATATCATTTTTAGATGATTACTTATACGATTATGCGGATGTAAAGGAACATTAAACATTATTTGTATTATCACGTCATGCGCGTTTTTGTTCTTACGTTTCTATACAATTAATTTTTTTTTTCTTTTTACACAATTTCAATCTTCCGACTCTTTCCTAAGATCGATAAATCTCACAATTTTACATAATATAAATCTCGAATTATATAATCGTAATAAATTTACGTACAGAAAAGTAATGGGTTATCAAGAACTAACTTTTTTCTCATTAATAGATGAATTAAAAATATGCGTTACATAATGCAGGAATAAATTTTCGTATATCTAATCGCTTGCTTTTCCCTCCAACGCTCTCGCAAATTTTTTGTTTTCTTCTTTTTTTCTCTTTTAATTTTATAGTCAACCTTTAATTTATCACGAGAATATCGCGGGACATGCAATTGCGATTCAGATATCAGTGGAATATATGTACATGTTGCAATTGTGTTTTCGAATGTCGAAATTGGACTTATCTAAAATTATCAGTTTACAAGCTTATCGATGTGCACTAGCCGGGTCGTAGCCGAAAATTCAATTACACATTCGCGCGTCGCGTTTAATAACGCTTAGCGGACAAAAGCTCCGTCGTCGCGCGCGCCGCCGTCCTCGCGTTAGATCCTAAGTGATTGATTTCCGTCCGATCGGTAGCAGCAGCCGTTTACTTTCTCGTTGCAGGTGAATAGACACAACGATGGTAGATACACAACATTTCTGTCTGCGATGGAACAATTACCAGAGCAGCATAACCTCGGCGTTTGAAAATCTTCGGGACGATGAGGACTTTGTGGACGTGACGCTGGCCTGCGACGGCAAAAGCCTGAAAGCCCATCGCGTCGTTCTCTCCGCCTGTAGCCCGTATTTTAGAGAATTGCTCAAGGTAAGACTTCACCCTCTTGCGTCGCGCTAAAGACGTTCGCGCGAATTTTCTCTATACCAATTTTTCGCCCTTTCAGAGCACACCGTGCAAGCACCCAGTGATAGTGCTCCAGGATGTAGCATTCAGCGACTTACATGCCTTAGTGGAGTTTATTTATCACGGCGAGGTGAACGTGCATCAGCGTTCTCTCAGTAGTTTTCTAAAGACCGCGGAGGTCCTCAGGGTATCGGGCCTCACGCAACAGGCCGACCAAACCGACAGAGACGAGGTAACGTCTTCGGGGGATACAATTACGGGGGATTGAAAGCGTCGTTATTTTCCTCTCTTCTGTTCTGTTTTTTCTTTTCTTCACAGAACTACGTGTCTGTAGCGTCCGAAATCGAGCACGCCGCAATTACATGGCTTTAAACCTTGGCAGGAGTGTGTATGTGTGCGTGCGTGTGTGTGTGTGTAGTAACGTAAATTCGTCGTATGTGTTCGCATTGTATGTATACTTTTATTTATACACTCACGTGCGCGTATCGCACGTGTACATATAAACACATGGCCGTGTAACGTCCCTCGTATCTTTCCTTCGAAAGCTCGAATAATACATATCTTATACATACGTTATCGGCAATAGACATTACTATGGGCGAAAGGCTTTCGCGCGATATCTCGTGATGCGGAACGCGTCTATCTTGATTTCGAATTCGTAATTGTCATAGGTCAATAACAAAGATAAAGCGGCTCGTTCGACTTGTCCGTGAAAATCGTACATTCGACCGAAAAATATCTCGGATACCGATAGGTATCGCGATACGTATTGCGAAACTCTGCAATTTGTACGCCCGAGCAAAACTGTCATTTTCAATCCGAACGATTTGTCGATCGATTAAACGACAAATCCGAATCCGAGCGATACATTCGGATACGATCTCGATAATTACGTTTGTCCGTCCATACGTGTGTTTCCCGTGTAGCCCTATATAATTATCATCTATCGTTCCCGTTTCGTTTTTCGTTAACAGCTGTCGCATGTCCGCGCACTGGCAGCCGGCGGCAATCACCTGCCGTTCCACGACAAGACGGAGGAGATCGTCTTCCCTCGTGGCGGCTCGCCGCCCACACCCGTGACCCCGACGCCGACCACGGTGCAACAGTTACTGCGCCGTGCCCAGATACGCCGTAACGCACCCGAGAGACGCACCCCGGATCCGCACGATGAGACGGCCAAGAGACCGCGGGTACCATCGCCGCCGCTCAACAACAACGACGCCACGCCCACGGACTTTTCGATGGTCAAGAGCAATCACCTGTCGACCAAGGTGGAGGGCAACGGGGTGCACGACGAGAACAGCCTGGTCGAGGACAATATAAAGTGCGAGCCGTTGGAGCTCACCGGCGGCAACGGGGGCGCCAACGCCGGCAACAACGAGGATTCGTCCGATTCCGGGGCCGCGGCCTCGGATCGACCGCCCGCGTCAGCGAGCAGCAACGAGCACGAGCCGGAACCGGAACACACGTCCGGGGCGCAGAACTTTTTGCCGGAGAGCAAGCTCTTCACGTCGACCCCCGGCAGCTTCAACTTTAGCATGGCGGCGCTCACCACCGATCACACACCATTGTCAGGTACGTCGGGGGCGCGACGATTCCAAGGCGGGCCTGTACGCACAAATCAATTTACGCGCCGGATAAATCGATCCCGCTATAATACCGGCCCTTCCGACCCTTCTTTCGATGCTAGTTTGTTTGCTTTAATCATTTCGAGATTGTCTGATAAACGCTGAAAAAATTAATATTATGCACACGTCGCGTCTAGATTTTTTTTCTTAAACAAAACTACATTTAATGTTTCGCGCTTAAAAGTTAAGCATACGCGATTCGTCTTGTTGCAGCGCATAATTTTTTCAGTATTACTTCCAATATCGTTCGTAAAAGTATGCGTAATCGCGGCTTGAATAGCTACTCTTTTTTTCTCTCTCTCTCAGAATTTTTATTTTGTATATTAAAAAAATATATATTTGAACTTTTGTTAGCGATTTATATTTTTTATTGAATATCATTTGTGCAACTAAAGCTTCGGCTCGGAGATTTTTGCATCGGCATTCGCGATAGTCAATTTCCCCCTCGTCGCTTATCCTTGTCTCAGCATTGCGTTTTTCTTTTTCAATTGCGAAATTGCGTACAGGCCGTTGTTGGGTTTCTACACGCGATGGCATCGCCGTTACTACGTGTGACGATAGTGAAATTTCCAGGATTGAGCCATGGCTTGCAAACACCGGATCTGGCGGGTACTTCGCAAGGTAAGAAACTTGTCTCTCTTCTTTTTTTTTTTAGCTCTCTGCCCTTTCGAAATCATTAGAATTGCTTGTATATATACCACGCTCCCGCTGTATATTTATTGCACTTGTTATCACGCGACCGTAGAAACGTCAATGTGCGTTCTTTTGATTTTTTTAAGGGCACTCTGCGCTACCTTATTATTCTTCTACTGACAGTCGATACATCGCGGCATCGCGCCTCGATCGTACGCGCGATGTAGCGGTCTCGCTCTAATAAAAAGTAACTAAGGACTTGTGCAGTTATATCAAACTAACCAAATCACACACAAATTTTACGAGAATGAAAATGTTTACTGGTTGCGGTGAAAGAGCACTACTATCTGCTTGGAAAATTATTAAGTCTCTTCTAATTGGCATGCGTTCCAAAAATCATCGATATCATCATTACTATACGGCACCATATACGATTCGCCTACATTTTGCATATCATAAAAAAAAATAATCATGTACTACGCGGAGCTGCATTTGGCTCCACGATCTGAGAACGGGATACGATCGAGCTCGTGAGCATTAATTCTCAAAAGCTCGTATCTTATAAAATTCGACGCAAGTAAGCTCGCCCGATTGTAACTCACGCTCGTTAACGCTCAAATACGCTCAAATACGCTCGAATATGCGCAGTCCAATTAATTATTACATTATGGTTTATCTACGTTTCATATATAAGAGATAAATCCACAACACCGGTACGTTTCGCAAGTGTGCTTTATTACGTTACATATTTATTACGCATCAGGAACGTCATACACGCGTTTGATTGCGTTCGATATGCTCAATTTACCTGTACTTTAAAGATACTTTGACAAATAGAAAGATTTACGTAACTTTTTATGCGTGGTGTAAAAAATGTAGAGATACAATACATGTGTTTTTCATTTACTATTCGGTTGTGTCTCGGAAGAAAATTGCAAGAAATTGAGGATTTATTATTCACAAGATTTCAAAAAGAATTTGCATAAATGTAATGCTAAAGTTACGATAATTTCAAAATAGGATAGAGCGGTTTTTATATTAAAAATATA